CCATACACGTATATCCGTGAGCCGTTGTGTCGTCTATGCGCACGACATATTTTGCCGTCTCATTCTTATTTCGAATACGCGGTTCTATTTATAAGCGCTTTTTATTTTTCCCATTGATTTTTTTTCCCCGTCCGCAGTATAGTGCTTGGCCCCACTTTCCCTCCGAACCCGTTGTCGCACGGCCAACCACGTTAAACGTTCGCTCTCTCCTCTCTCTCTTTTTTCCTTTCGCCCCCTCCCGTCCTCCTTACCAATTTACTTGCCCCCTCCTCCTCCTCCTCCTCCTCCACCACCCTCCCGCCCCTTCGTCCCCCTGCCCTTATATCATTCCATCGTCCCCCACCCTCGTTCTCTCACTCTCTCAATCTCATCTCTATGCCTCTATTGTTCTCTCGATGGCCAAAAAGCGCTAATTGCATTGTAAATAAAGGAGTGATCGATCTCGCAACACTATTAACCGTTCAAATGCTACTTTGCGATTTCACTGGATGTCCTCCATCTACCTCGACGGCTACGATAGTCATCTTTGCGTTGGTCGCGCAAACTCTCACCGATCCTTGTCCTTTGGGCCGTCGCTTCCGGATATCACGTGCAGAGTGACTCCGGCTTTTATCGACAATCCGCCGTGGCACGCAATTAAATTTCCCTGCTCTCGTTTCGCGCATCGACTCGCTTAAAATCGTCGTCGGGGGCCCCTGGTCGAAAATCTACGCGCTTCGCATCCTCCTCAAGGATTCGCGCGATGCTTTCACTCCTTAATCGGCAGCCAACCAACAGTCCCATCTCTCTTTTCTTCCTGCATTCGGTCTTTTTTTTCTTCGCCTCTGGCTTTTTCACATTGGGCGAGCGAACGACGGCCGAGGGAAATCTCGCAATAATGGGAGTCCCCGTGGACGGCCCCGGAATTTATGTTTCACGAAAGCCTAGCACATGCAGGTGCTGCACTGCCCTGCCCTGTCCTGTCCTGCCCTGCCCTGCCCTGCCCTGTCTTGCCTTGCCCTGTACCTTCTGCTTCGCCCTCTGCTCTACCCTGCCCTGCTCTGCCTTATACCGAACAGCTGCGCGCCACGTCTCCTACACCGAATTGGATTTACCTGCATTTACCTGCATGGCATTGTGCTGCATCGCCGACTCGTCCAACTTCCTCAACTCGTGCATTTTTTCTCTCTCGGATTTTCACGCTTTTTACGACGGTTCGGAGGCTGTTGGCGGGAAGGTTCGTACGGATAATACATTTCAAGGACTTTTCAAACTATTTCCAATCGACGCACTCTATTGCACTCTAGCCAATTGCTCCATGGACGACGATTTGTGTTTTGATATGTCGAATTCGACACACGCATAATCCACGAAACGATCAAGTCCCTCGCGTTTTATGACACGCCAAGCGTACGTAGGCTCGGGCTGCAAGGTGCCCGAGGCCTCGGGAACCCTACGTGGCAGCCCATTAATAATAATAATTAATGAGCCTCCGTTGAATCCACCGTTTGATATGGTATCGTATTGTATCGCCGTGCATCGCGCTCGTCGAGACGTAATCGAAAAGTCACAGCCTCGCCAGTCCTACTCCCTAAAATCCTTCTCCCCTCGCTACGTAATCGAGCCGGCAGCAGTGGACGAATGGTGCTTTACCTGAGAGGGCGAGAGAAAAATTTCGCGACCTCTTGGTAGCCGATCGTTGACAACGGTGGCCCGAATGGGCAGTTGGAATTGTCGTTACGCGTGGATCGTTAAGCACGGCGACTCTCCGTTGGCAATCAACGGAGAGAAAACGATGGGCCGTTCATGACTCGCGCGCCATTATTCCTCTTAATCCACGGGACACTGTCGGGCGCCTATATCCGCAGGAGGTCCCAATTTCTTCGCAAGGTCGCCGAACGACGACTCTTTCGGACGACGAGACGCCACGCCGATTGAACCGCGGCGCACATTTACCGCACTCGACGCGAAATAATTGCAGTGGCTTTGTTTTGTTATAAATGCGCAGGCGAAATATAAAGGCGTTGTAATGGCGAGTCGCGGGGCATTGTAATCGGCCCGGTTAAATCGCTTGGGCTATTCTGCGAATATAGGGAACAACGGGAGTCACCCTCCGATGGCCATTCATTCCTCGAGCAAGCTCTCCTTCCTCCAGAGAGCGTATCTCTTTACGCTCTCCCTCGACCATTTTTCTTTGTATAAACACGAGCGCCCGTAACATAATGGCGGCGTGAACGTGCACGGGCATTAAAGCAGCCCGTTCGTTTATCTCACACCTGTTCACGGCCTCCACAGTCTCGCTTTATTCCCTTCGTCTCGTTCGCCTTTATGTCCACGTTCGCGTTCAGCCGTACCCCACGTCACCGCGAGGCAGCCCCTTGGTCGCGGACGAGCCGCTCGCGCGCCAAATGACACGCCAGTGGCCAAGGAAAAAAGAAGGAGTACGTTTGTTTAGCCAGCGGAGCGGGCGGAGAGGAATTTTCTGGGATTTGGACCGGGAGTGCGAGTGGAGGAATGCGAGTATAGAAAACGACGACGACGACAACGACCACGCCGCTAGCTACGTCATTGTGTGGGCGAGTGCACGGGGTTGCGAGCATCCATCCGTCCGATCTGGAAAATTGTTCTGTCCTTGGCGAAGCGATGTTGGGGCGGAGGGGGGGGGTACACGGGACGCTTCGATCGATCAGTTATACGCGGAATTGAGAAAAGATTCGAAGGACGAGAGGACTGGCTAGTGCAATTTTCAGGGTATGCGAGATTATCAGGCGATGAGTAGACGGATAAAATGGAAATTCGAATTCGCGCAATTTAAGGAGGACGTAAAATTCTATGCATATAGAGAAATGGTGGAAAACCAATGAGAATGCATATTAAATTTTACATAGTTTTGCGCAGTTATTGTCGGATAGTTGGTAGACAGTGCCGCCCAGGGTAGTAGTAGCGTCATTTAATTCGATCGTGCCTTCGACGAACCGAGCTCAGTGGAATGTGTAATCGTTCAATTACATTAGAGTACGTCGCCATTACTTTTTAAATGTATATTTTTAGTTTACGGGAGGAGGAGGAGGAGGAGGAGGAGGGGGGGGGGGGTAACGTTTAGCTTAGTTTGCAATGATAATGCGGTGAACGGGGGCCAGCCTGAATGGACTTTCTCTTTTAAGACTGCATTGTAAATAATTTTAATAGGCATTTGAATTTTAACGTGCGACATTAGAAAGTGCCCACTTTGCGTAATGATGTTGATATTTTTTGTTTTACCAAGCAAATTTTTTGCGTCGATTCAGTCGATACTCAATGGACGTGTTATGTAAAGCACGGACGGACGGTCGCTATCAACAACGGCAAGAGATAAAAATTCACCATTAAATAAACCTCGTTATTATTATTATTATTATTATTATTACTATTACTTGGGTCACTGTTGTTGTTATTATCGTCGTTGTTGTTATCGCCGTCGTTGCCATCGTCGTTATTGTTGTGGTTGTTGTGGTTGTTGTGGCTGCTGCTGTTGCTGCTGTTGCTGCTGCTGTCGTCATCGTCGTCGTCGTCGTCGTCGTCGTCGTCGTCGTCGTCGTCGTCGTCGTCGTCGTCGTCGTCGTCGTCGTAGTCGTAGTCGTCGTAGTCGTCGTTGTCCTCGACTCGCTATTATCGTTATTACTACTATTATGTAATTTGGGCATGAGATGTACGAGATCGAGTACAAGGGAACGAAGCGACGAATAACCCTAAATTCGTGTACTGGTGATTTTAATAGCAAACGAGCTTGTGGCGCTATCAATTATAATATCGTCAATCGACAGCCGAGAAAACGAATTTTTATGTCAAGCATAAACGCTGTAATACGTTTCCTATTGAAGTAATAAACAATTCCTAAGCAGTCTCACTTACGTTGACGTACGCGGCTTAAGTTGCCGCAAAATTTGCCGACGCTGTAATAAAGAAAGCGCCCCCCAGCTAAAGCTTCGAGTCTTGCAAGTCGCTCGCTCGCCAAGCGAAAGTAGCTTTGTAAAAGCAAAAGAAAAGCATCGAGCTCCCGACGCTTGATGCGATTAAGCAGCCGTCGAACAATAAAGGCCATTAAACCGCCGCGTAAAGTGTTTACCCGAGCTCGAGGGGGCAACAACGCGGGCAAAATATTTCGCCGTAGCTGGGAGGCGGAGGAAATCTTTGCCTGGAGAAGAGAAGAGAATAGCGCGTAAAAGCTCTCGGCGCCTCAAAAGCTTTCCGCGTCTCCTCGCTCCCACCGTTAATTCACCCACCTAACCATCCCCCTACCACCCGGCCTCCATACTATTTTCACCCCGATCCCCACACCCACCAACACCGCGACCATTACCCCCACCGTCAACCATCGCCCTCACCATCACCCTCACCCTCACCTCTTTTCGCTGCCGACGCCGCCGGCGAAGCGCACTTTGCGAAATTGGAGCAAAGTGCGCGACTCGAAGCGCCACGCCTTCGCCTCGCGCTACGTTTTTCGAAATTCAAATCCCGCCCCATCGATCGCCGATGATTTCCATAAGCGGGGGATTATTGATAAAGAGGCCGGCGCGTGCACAGGGGCCGGACGCTCGGATTACCTGTGCCGAGCGGCTTTTGTGCCGAGTTTTTCGAGCTTTATCCGGCCTTTATTATTCCACGCGCTTTTCTCTCACCTTCCTTCCTTTTTTTCAATGTCCAGGTTGAATTACGTAGTCTGCTGGCGCATCGCGATGAATGCTGTATAAAAGCGGGTAGTGGCCCGACAGAATTTGCCGCTATTCTCTTTCACTTAAATTGATTCTCTTTCTCAATAATTTTATTCTAACGCGCTATCGTTTTATTCCAACTTAGCCGAATTTGCTCGAAACTATTCTGACTTGTGCATAGTTTTTACGCCCCCTCTCAACACCCAATCCCACCCTAACCTCCACCGACTACAACAATCACTAGCGCACATTG